ACCCTAACAGCCAACCTAGGGACATCAAACATCCTGAAGAGCTGCATCCCCCAGCTGAGCAAGCTCCAGTGCACCTTCCCCACCATGGTCAAGCAACGCGTCCTCGACGCTGTTGACAGCCAAGTCATCCAAATGGAAAAATTCCCTCATAGCCATAATCACCTCTGGAGCTAACTGGTCCTTGAATTTGGAAGTGAACTCTTTCAGAGTTGCTTCTGTCACATCTTTACATCTCTGGTGATTCCCAGCGTGCGGCAGACTAATTTTTCTGCAACTTTGGCCGCCGGCACGGCAGCAGCACTTGCACCCGGGCGCTTGATCCTCTGCAGAGAGAGGCCACCCTTCCGAGAAATCTGCACCCCAGCCAGCGTTTTTCGGTGAGCATAGGAGGCCTTGGGGGTGGCGATGGAGGCGAGGCAAAAATGCTCTGTTGCCGCACCTCAAAGAGTGACTTCAGAGGATCTTCAGGGGTCTTGTCTTGTGGATCACGCACCGGCGAGGGAGTACGCTGCAGAGGGCCGACGCAGATCAGGGGCGGTGTTGGAGAGGACTGAAATCCTGGTGGCCTAGATGGAGAGAGCAGGGGCCTTTGGAGCGAAACCGGAGAGCACAACTACAGCAGGTATTGGTTTGGTGCCACTTGTAGCTGAGAAGGACTTGAGGGAGGCGCAAGACCGTGCCTCGGAGCTCCTGGCCATTCAGGGCCCGGGGCAGGCTGGTCGCCGCGGCTGCAGCACCGTGCGGCAGGTCTTGCCGCGCTCGGCTAGGCGCCGAGCGCACACCGCCGGTGTCCCCCTGCTCTCTCCAACCACGGTGCTGCCTCCCAGCCCCCAATCCAGCCGCACTACAATTAATGAGCAATGCTACACGCACGGGATGATTTTTACTGAGATTTACGGGGATGCTTAGCTGGGATAACTTGAATGGAAGGAAAGGGGATAAGGGGCCCACACCCCCTGAAAATCAGGGGGCGGTGAAGATTAGTTAATGAAGGGATCGTGTAAAACGCCGGTATTACTCCGTTAGTCTAGAATTTTCGTTAAGACTAGCCACAATGGAGAGTAACATACACTAGCAACATACACATAGTGGGTAGTAACATAAGTGTAGTGTCATGCAAAACTTCATTTATTAGGTTATAGACTCATATTGTATTGGGACCTGTGATGTTACAGTAACTAACTAAGTTACTCAAACTACCTATCTCCTCATTAACTCATTGCCACATAAGCAAATTTGCTGAGTTGGACTCGATGTTACTGCTAAAATTACTCCAAGTGTGGCTAGTCTAATGAACCACCCGGAGCCTTCGAGCTCATACCGTGTTGGAAAAAAATCGCCGCGTCACACACCTGATCGCGTGGATTTCTCCCTTCCATATAGCCAGTCCGGATCCTCAAAAGGGAAAAAATATAGCCAGCCAGCTGAAAGAATATACAAACATGCATGCTGAATCAGCAGGGAGAGGGTTAGCGAGCTCGCGTAGCCGCGTGCTGAATATTCAGTACCGCCATTATTGCAGTTTATCAATCAGTGCTTTTGTTTGGTAGCTATAGACTTCTAGAGCGCTACTAATATTATTGTTTTCGCAGCACATGTATGCATGAGCGGCCACTAGTCACACGGCCGGATATGCATGAACCAACCACGGATTCATACACACATAACAAAGTGGTTCAGCTAGCTAGAGGACTATGCCAAGTTGGCAACCTAATAAGCAGCAGTATAGAAGTTTTCCTTCAACGGAAAAAGGGCAATATAAGTAGAAGATTCTACTTGGTGATTTGGCGATCCCATCTTATAAGTCCGATCTTCCAACTAGCGTCGGGTGCCATCGTCGACCTCATCTGGTGATCTGGAGGCCGACGGAGCATGTGCTTTTGACCTGTGAGACCCCACCTGATGCATGCATGCCACCTTAGCTCGTACTAGCACAATACAAGTGGAATGAGAGGTGTTTTCTTCCCCCCTCTTTCCTTAGAGCATCTCCAGCAGCAGCGCTAAACTAGCGCCGCGCTGCAAAAAAGCCCTTTTTAGCGTGCGCGCTACGCGGCGGCTCGCTCCAGCGGGCGCGCAAAAACGGCGCGCGCGCGATACCGGGTTGGACGCGCGGTCAAAACCGCTTATCCGCGCGGTGTATTTAGAGCGCCAGCTACAGTGCGCGGCACACTCGAGCGCTCGCGCCCGTACTCTCTCCCTCTCCTTGTCCTACGCCCCGCACGCGCCGGCGCCGGCGCCCTGCCCCCCGCCATGGACGCGCACACC